CAAACACACACACGCACACACACACGCACACAAATTTACACATTCACACACACATAACGCACTCAAGCATATTTACATGAATACACAAAGATACATGAACATAAACACCAACATACAGAAACACAGTTACACACATCCATGAAAACACACATAGACAAACACACTCACACACGCGCAGGCACACACGCACATAAAATAACGTTAGAGAACATACATTTAACCTTATAGTACAGAAAATTTCATAATTGTTTCACAGCGTTTGCAGTGCAAATAAAATTATACAAACTTCCAAATGTTTAGTTTCCTCAAAATCATGTGTTTGTAAATTTTTTGCACAAACATACATCCGGTTGTTTGTGCAAACTCCAAAACAAACACACATACCATATTAATCAATACATACAATGCATACAAACAGTACGTCTCGATACATGTATACACATTTTACACAAGTGAATTTTTTGTGTTTATTACACTATTTCAATTGTTAAAATGCCGATAAAGTTTACAATTGTTAGGTTATCATTTTTTTTACTACCTGCTCCCTTACTTAACTACAATAAACATTACAACACATGCATTCGTAATGGGTACAAACACACACGCGCACACACGCACAAATACACACATACATAAATATACACACACCCACACACACACACTTATGAAATTAGCCTGCTGACGTGCATGATGACGTCATTTTGAAAAAAAAACTTAGGCGTCCGGTGATTAATTAGACTATGTATTTTCGTTTCAGGAATTTTATTTCAAACAAAGCAACGGTGACAATGAAAGAGATGATAATATTATTTTTTGTCTGCAAATATTACCATATTAAATAATTCTATTGTATAATGATAATAAAAACAAGAAAAGCATTTGTATATTTTGTGTGACAAATTTTCAAACATCGTGTCTTAATTAACTTTTATATTTTGACAAACATTATATACACGTTGTGTGTTTGTTTATGCATGCATTTGTGTGTGTGTTTGTGTGTCTGTGTGTTTGTGTGTGTCTGTGTACGTCTTCCATACAATACTCATTCGACGCGGTCTTCAGTAAGTAAAGCTTGTCACACTCTTTTTGCCATAGTTGTTTAGGCAACAAAAAAATATTTGCTCTGAAAAAATTTATTAGAGACTCGGATAAGATCGGATATTTTTATTTTGTTTACCTACTAATATTTTGATTGGTGACTCACATGGTCTTGTGTTAGTATTTGTGTGTGTGTGTGTGTGTGTGTGTGTGTGTGTAATAGTTTCGGTGCATAGCTTTTCTTTATATTCAATCAAATTCCTCTATTAAGAATTATAATTGATTAAATATCATCACATGTAGTTATGCCTATAATCACATCAGGTGATCAAATTTTTAGAGTTGTCGTTGCTGGCTGCGGTTTGTCAAAATGAATAATATTATAGTAGGATTAGTCAGATTCTCAAGTCTCATTAACATGTGTCTCGCTTCCCTCTTCAACATCCAGCCAAAGTAACATTCACGTTCTTCTATTGCATCATGAAATAAAATGATGTGAATGTTTTTAGCGGACTTTTCAAGATACAACTTTTAAAATTTATTTTTCAAACGAAGAATAATGAAGAAAAATTATCATAAGAATAAAAAGTTGACTAACTCGAATGACTGAAACTGCAGTAATCTGACATCACACTCGTCCACATTCTTGCAGTCGGGCCAGAAATCCTCAATGAAAATTTTTTCACTTTTCTTCCCCTTAAAACTTGGCGAACTAGGCGGGTGTGTTTTGTAGAAGGAGGGTGTCCGTGGGCCCCCCATCAATTCGGCTGTGGCCTCTCCCGTCGATAACTTCCACTCGTACTGCTTCTGCTGCATCGTTCGACGACGCAGCGTTGAAGCAACGATTGCGGCCATCGTTCAGGGTGGTCGTCTTGATTTTGACGATGATGAATGTGATAAGGATGATGGGTGGTTTTTATTTGTTCAGTGTGTGTGTGTGTGTGTGTGTGTGTGTGTGTGTGTGTGTGTGTGTGTGTGCGTTGTGACGATGAAGATGATGATGATGACGACAACAAAATAATTATATTAGGCCCCTTGTTATTTGACGATGTTTAGTAAATTATGTTAGTAACTTTGGTTGACGTGAAATTTTTGTAGAAACTTTGTCGACGTTGATAACGTTTATGTATTTAATGTAGTAACAATGTTGTGGTTGTTGTTGTTGTTAATTTGTAAATAGTTGTTGTTGTTAGCACTGCCTTGAGACATAGGTCTACACTCAACATTCAGAAAGTTTTCTCAGCTTGCCGAAAATCACCAAACATTTTAGAATCATCTTCAGCACTGGAACGGTAACAAATGAATGATTCATTTTTACAATTTTGTGTAAATTTCATGAATATTAAAAATTATTTCAAGATTTACACTTAATTTATGTTTGTATTCACGTCTTGTGTCTTTACGTTCATATAACATGTTTCATCACATACCTTTTCATCGTATGATGATGTTTGTATAATATGGCTGCAGTTTGTTTTTAGCTATACATATTAATTTCAAACTGCCTCCTGCTTATTAAATTTAAACAGTTTTAAATTAAATTTTAAAAAATTATATAAAAAAACATTTGAGCATACTATTTGAACATGACCTGCAACATCAAAAACTACGAACTTATTTTTTTTAATTCATATAAATCATTTTTAACTTATTTGAAAAAAATAGCATTCAACAAATTCATTTAAAAAAACTCATTTTCCAAAAAAAAAAATATTGCAGATTTCTTAAAAGAGGCAGGTTAGAATCAGTCAGAGAGATGCCATCATTTGTTATTCAACCACGGAGAAAGAAATTGTTTGATCGTTCAACATGCAATAACTGAATTTTCTTGAGACCGTTAACTTAATTAAACTTTGCATACGCATCCAACAATAACGAAGGAAGAGAGAAAGACAGAGAGAGTGAGAATGAAAAGGAGAGAATGCGATAGAGAAAGAGAGAACGAGAGATAGAGAGGAAAAGAGAGAGAGAGAGGGAGAGAGAGAGAGATCCTTTTTGTTGGATGTTTTACATTGCTTAGATTGTAATGTGCTTTGCACTCGTTTAAACCTCGTGACAGTTTATAATTGCTTGGCTGTCCTCCTCTATTAAATGATTGTGATTGCATCAAACTGACTTATCTCTTGTGGACTCGTTCGTCCGCTGCTTGCTGGTTTGTCTGCCTGTGTGTCTGTCGATTTGTTTATGTGCGTGTCAATATGCTAATGACGGTGCTCTGTTAGCCACGATCATTGACGGCGATTATGATGCAGATAATTAAAGCTACTAG